CAAGCAACACTCTTGGAAATTAATTTGGACTAGACATAGATCAGTGATTCCATGAGACAACAAAATGGTAGAACAAAATAAATTAAAATCTTGAAAAAAAATTAGAAGAATATAAGTTATCTCCTATTAAAAACAAATGAGAATGTAAGAATCATTAGACTACTTCAACCACTAAAACAAACAAACAAACAAACAAACCCCAGATACCATATTTCAAGAAATCAGGAGAAAATTGTCCAGACCTATTAGAAGGTGAAAACAGAATCTAGTGATTAATCATCTCATGAAAGAAACACCAAAATGAAAAATCCCAGGAATGTCATAGCCTAAATACAGAATTTTCAGGTCAAAGAAAAAGGACTGTAAGCATTTAGCAAGAAGGAATTCATGCACCAAGGAACCACAGGATCACACCGACTTGATATTATAAAGGGGGGAAGACATCATTCCAGAAGATACAGACTTAAGAGTAAGAATAATTTACACAGTAAAACTGAATCTAACCTTATAGGAGAAAAAAATAGAGTTTTAGTGAAATATAAGGTTTCTAAGCATTCATGATGAAGAATACACAGCTGAATACATACATCGGAATGTAAACACAGGAATCAACACCATAAAAAAGTAAACACATCTGAGCAATTAACTATATGATGATGATGTTTGTATTGTAACAAGGGGAGAAGAAACAAGCATCTTGTTAAAACTATATTTTCAAGGATGATAGAGGAAGAAAAATATAGATATACATATATATCTATATTTTTTCTTTTTTAGGCAATTGGGGTTAAGTGACTTGCCCAGGGTCACACAGCTAGTTAGTGTCTCAAGTGTTTAGTCTGAGGCCGCATTTGAACTCAGGTCCTCCTGATTTCAGGGCCAGTGCTCTATCCACTGAGCCACCTAGCTGCTCCCTAGAGAAAGTAAATAAAACAAAGAGCCTGGAAACAATTTTATTACATTTTGATGATCTTAAGAGAAAAAAGAAAAGAGAAGGAAAAAGGAATATGCCAGAGGGGAAAAATAAAGGAAGAGCAGTAGAACTAATTAGCTCACATTAGCAGAGAGCTATACATCAAAAAGACTGTATATTATGACCAAATAATAATTTATGCCAATAATGCAAGATTGTTTCAATTATTAGGAAAATGTTAATAACAAAAATAATCAAAATTAAATTACTAACAGATGCAATTTTTTTTTTACAAAAATAGAACACTCATTTCTGTTTAAAAAAAAAACATCAGAAAGCACAGGAATAAATGGATCTCTAATATAGTATATAGTACTGTTATCTAAAACCAAGAGCCAGACTTGTATCTAAGATAGATCTACTACCAACGCCTTTCCAAGAAGACCATTAGAACCAACAGTGTCGATTATTACCACTATATTTGACATAGTACTAGAAATGCTAACTACAGCAATGAGACAAAATTGAGGGAATAAGTATAGAAAAAATAAAACTAAATTATTTCCTTTTGCTGATGATATTATTATTAGAGAAACTGAGAGATTTAATTTAAAATTAACTGAAATAATAACTTCAGCAAAGTATCAGGTTATAAAATAAGCACACAAATCATCAGCCTTTCTATGTATTACCAACAAAACTCAGTAGGAAGAGATAGAAAGATAAATGACATTCAAAATCATTAAAGAATGTATAATATTTGGGAATCTATTTATTGAAATTCACATAAGAACTCTAAGAAAACAATTACGAAATACTCTTTATAGAAATAAAGACACATTTAAGTAAATGGACCTATATTGCTGACAATTTATAAATATTAAAAATGACAATACTACCTAAATTAATTTACTTATTCAATGCTATACTAATCAAACTACCAAAGGATTATTTTAGAGAGCTAGAAAAAAAAATGACAGCATCCATTTGGAAGAGCAAAAAGTCAACATTCAAGGGAAATAATGGGGGAAAATAGGAAGGAAGAGGGCCTGTCAGTATCAGATTTCAAACTATACATCAAAATATTATTCATCAAAACTATTGGTACCAGTTAAAACATAGAAAAGTTGATCCATGAAACAGATTAAGTATTTAACATACATAATATGAGTATGAATAAATATATAAATGAACATAGTAACAAAGTGTTTAGTAAACCCAAAGTTCTTAATTCTAGGATAAGGATTCACTTCAACAAAACTTCTGGGAAAACTGAAAAACAGTCTGGGAAAAAAATGGGTCTAGACTAACACTTCCCATCATATACCACAAAAAGCTCCAAATAAATGCATAGGCTAGATATGAAAGCTCACATAATTTTAAAAAAAATTAGAAGACTAAGGAAGAAAATACCCTTTGCAACTATGCATAGGGAAAACGTTCATGACCAGGCAAGTAATAGAGAAGATCACAGAAGATAAATTGGAACAAGTTATATCACATAAAATTGAAAAGTTTTTCGACAAGCAAAATCAATGTAGTTATTATTATAAGCAGAAGAGTTACTGGGAAAATGCAGTAATTTTTACGATAAAGATCTGATATCCAAAATACATAAGTAACTAATTAAAATTATTTTTGAGAGTTTCTAAATGACTTCATTTGAGGGAAGTAGAATCCAGACCTCATACTAATTTTCATGTCTAGTACTCCACAAACTGTGACATTTCATTTTATTGTTTTTTTTATTTTTTTCAATCAACATTTACTTTCTGTCCTTCCACCTCTCAATTAACAATCATTTATTTTCTCTCCTTCCACCTCCCTCACACTCCAATGGAAAGAAGAAAAAAAAAAGAACTCATAATAAATATATACAGTGATGTAAAATAAATCCCATCTTGGATATGTCCAAAACTCTATCTCCTTCTGCATATTTAGTCCATCATCTGACAGGCAATGAGTAGTATCACTGAGCCTCTGAAGTCATTGGTTGATCATTCCATTAACCAGAGTTCTTAAGTCTTTCAAAACTGTTATTTTTTACCATAATGCTATCATATAAATTGTTATCCTGGTTCTGCTCACTTTGATCTGCATTGATTCATACAAGTCTTCCCAGGTTTTGTTTTTGTTTTTTTTTTTTTTACAACTGTCCCCTTCATCATTTCTTACAGCACAATCATATTCCATTGTATTCATATGTCATTATTTGTTCAGCAATTCCTGAATTGATAGACACCCTTAGATTCCAGTTCTTCGCCATCACAAAAAGAACTGCTATAAATATTTTTGAGCATATAGGACCTTTTGCTTCTTCCCCCAAACTCTAAGGTATAGTTTTAATAGTGGTATGCTGGGTCAAAGGATACGCACATTTGGCATAGTTCCAAACTATTTTCCATAATGAATATACTAATACATAGTTTAACCAATAGTGCACTAGTGTGGCTGTCTTCACCCTCTACCTACAATACCTGCCATTTTTTTTTGTTATCTTTGCCAGTCTGCTAGGTCTGATATGGAACCTCAGAGTTGCTTTATTCTCTAAAATTTAATCCATTCTCATTTCTCTAATTATTAGTAATTTGGAGTATTTTTCATATGGCTATAGATAACTTGGATTTCTTCCCCTGAGAACTGCCTGTTCATATCTTTTTACTAATTATGAAATGGGGAATGGCTCTTTTTCTTACAAATTTGAATCTGTTCCTTAAATGTCTAGGAATAAGTCAGAAATTATCAGAGAAACTTTCTCTGTACAGGTTTTTTTTTTCTCAGTCAACTTTCTCTTTTAATCTAGATGCTCTGGATTTGTTCATGCAAAAAAAATTACTTTTATGTATATAAAATTGTCCATTTTATCATCTCTGATCCTCTCTAATCCCTTGTTTGGTCATGAAGTCTTCCCCTATACACAATGTGACAATATATATCTAGATTATGTGTCCACTTGGAGCTTATTGCAGCATTTCACAGGGTTGTTATGAGGATCAATTAAGTTAAGAAATCCAAAGTGCTCTGCAAATCTTAAAGCACCATATGATTTCTACTACTACGATGACAATACATAGTTCTATATTAGGTTCACTTGCTTCTGTATGTTGCAAACCCAATCTGTTCCACTGATCAACCTCTTCATTTTTTAACCAGTATTAAATTATTTTTTTAAAGAACCTCTTTCCAGTTTGAGATCTGGTACTACCACTAACATAAATGATAAAAATAATAGCCATTCCCCAATAGATTAATGATCACAGGATATGAACATGCAATTCTCAGAGGAAAAAAAGTCTAAACTATCAACTAAGTGTTACATGAAAAAATGAACCAAATCTCTAATAATTAATGAAATGCAAATTAAAACAACTCTGAGGTTCCACCTCATCTATCAGATTGGCAAAGATGCATATATGTAATAATATATAATAAAGGAAAAATGACAATTGTTGGAAGGGCATGGGAAAACATACATACTAGCATACAATTGGTAGAGCTATGGATTAGTCTAGCCATCCTAGAAAGTAGTTTGGAACTATCCCTTCAAAGTCACCAAAGTGTGTTTTCCCTTTAACCCTGTGATATAATACTAGACCCACAGCCAAAGGGATCAAAGAAAGAGAAAAAGGACCCATATGTATAAGTACATTTATAGCAACTCTTTTTTGAAGTTGCAAGGAACTAGAAACTAAGGAAGTATGTCCATTATTTGGGAAATGGCTGAATTAATTATGAGATGGTGTTGTTGTTTGTCCTTCCTTTTCAAAGAGGACTGATGACATCACAGGGTGATGTCTTGACTCATTCATGAATTGGATTTAAGTGAGGCAGGGTTGCACAAAGTTGTCAGTCTCACTCTTTCTTCCAGAGTCATCAAAATCCAGTGACAAGACGAAAGTCAAGATGACTGGTGATGGTCTGGGGATGAAATGGATGAATTTGGCATCTTTGATGAATGACCAAACTCTTAAGTGCTCCACAGCACCTGCTTCAGCCACCTTCATGGCTGAAACAAATTGTTCTCATCCTCTCATTCCACCCAGGGAAGTCTTCACATGCTTGGGGTACACACCCCCCTAACTCATCGATGGGTTTGAAGCCTATCCAAGAAGATTTCCTGGGGTGTGGCCACTGCTCATGCTATAACTTCTTGGAGGCACAGGTAAAAGCTGAACCAGGTAGACACCAAAGGCAAATGAGGAGCCCTGAAAAGAGCTTGGCAAGCCCTCACAGCAGAAGTGCTATTCCTCCTTGAACACCCCATGAAATATTATTGAGTAATTCAATAGTTCCAAATGATCAATGGACCCTTTCAGAGAAACCTGGAAGATTTGTATGAACTGCTACAGAGTAAATTTAGAAGAACCAGGAGAATAATTTGTATAGTAACATTGTGAAGAAAAAATACTTTGAAAGACTTCAGAACTATGATGAGTACAATGACCAAACATGACTCAAGACCAAAGATGAAGCATTCTACACATTTCTGACATATAATGGACTCAAAGTATAGAATGAGACATCTTTGGACATAGCAATCATGTGGATTTGTTTTGCTTTACTATATTTGTTAGAAAGATTGTATTTTCTTTTATTTGTTTGGGGGTGAGAGCTGGATTTGGATAGGAGAGGGCATCTAGAAATACTGTTGCTAAAATAAAAGAAGAAAGAAAAGAGGGTCATTGAAGGTATTTAAAAATGGATGGAATAGGGGGTGCAGTAGATAGAGCTGTGGCCTTGGAGTCAGGAGGACCTGAGTTCATATGTGCCTCAGACACTTGATACTTACTAGTTGTATGACTTTGGGCAAGTCATTTAACCCTAATTGCCTCACTGAAAAAAAACAAAACAAAACAAAACCCAGAATAGAAAGAAGCCCAAAGAAACATTAGGCAAGCAGGAGAGCTTTAAATGTAATGTGTTAAATTCATCATATACTTTGTATATAAAAATGTTCATTTTGGGGGCACTTGTTATGTTCAGAATAAAAATAAAAATAAATAACATTCATTTACAAGCCTTTAAGTAATAGAGATTATGTCACATACAACCCTCTTTTCCTGTTCTTTTTATAAGGAAATATTTTTTGTTGATGTTTGTCAGGTTCATAATAAAAATGTTTTAAAAAGATCATAAAATTGTTTGATGCTAGAAGATTATGGTCAATTATTACCTCATAAAAACATCAAGAAGCAGCGAAAGGAAAAAACAAGCTTAAAGAAAGATTGGCAGGAAACCCAACTGAGTAAAATCATCTGAAAACATGTAGCATTTAATGATGAAAATGGAAGAAGTACCTGGAAATACAGTCACTGAGAGGAGAATAGCTAGGAGCATTAGGCACTGGAAGGGTGGTAGTGTGGGACCACAGTGCCAGGGAGGACAATCCCAGAGAGTGGGAAGCACAGCATGAAAGCAAAGCACCAGCAAGCTTAACGCCTAAGAGTGTAGTTAATGGGAGACGAGGAAGTGGAAGTAGAGTGCTTATATTATATGGGCAGCCAGGGGGCGCAGTGCATAGGTAGGTGCTATTATGCTCTCCATTTTAGAGTTCAAGAAAGCGAGGCAGATAGAAGGTTAAGGCCAGCAAGTCTCTGGGCTGCATTTGAACTCACGTCTGTCCAACCCCAGGCCCTGACAAAACTGACAGCATAATACAGTTAGTACACTGGGAGCTGAGTGCCTTGGGAGTGTCTAGTTGCTGAAGGCCGAGTTGCTGGAAGCAGCGAGCCCACAGCTTGGAGCACCTCTGAGTTACTGAGAGCAGAGTGATGGAGAGCACACGGTGACTGGGGGAGCACGAACTAGCACAGGCAGGAGACCCCAACCTGGCCTTAAGTCACTGGGAGCCCTCTTCGAGCCTTGGGGGCAGGTGGTGCGTGGGCGCTCACAGTGACTGGGAGCACGTGGTTCGGGAGCCTGGAGCACGTGTGGGGGGGCCCACGGTGACGGGAGCACGTGGTGATTGGGCACCCCAGGGAACTGACTGGGAACCAGCCCGTGACTGTGACTGGGCCTCCCACAGGCAGCCAGTAGGGCTGCCCCTGGCCAGGAGCAGCGGGGCGCTGGATCTCAGCGGGGAGCCCTCGCTCACGCCAGGCTGGCTCGGGTAGGGCGGTCAGCAGGGGCCCCGCGGGGGCGCCCGCCCCCAGAAGAGGTGTGGGGCCTCCCCCACCCTCGAGAGCCGGCGAGGCCTCTGTCTGGCCGTCGCCCCGCAGAGTTGTTCCAGAGGTGGGAAACTGAGGCTCCTCCTCCTCTGAGCCCCAGGCCTGCACCTGCCTCCTCGCGGCTCCTCCCGTCGCCCGAGGTAATAGTGACGGCCCTTCCGGCCTTGAGCTCCGGGATCTGGCAGGGCGAATGCTCCCCGTGCTGGTGGAACGGGGGCGTTGAGGAGAAGGAGGCTAGGGGCAATTGTGGTTGCCTAGCGACCCAGGCCCAGAAAATCCCTCGGGAGCCGCCGCCGCCTCCGCGTCACAGGCCAGAAGTCACCTCCCCAGGCCCATGGTTCTGCCCGGCGCCCTCGACCGCGCCGGGCTGCGGGGCGCACATGTCCATCTATGACGACGCGGCCCCGTGCACCTCCGCACGCTGCTCCCCCAGGATGGCCGAGGCGGGCGTGTGTTCCGGGGCCTTCCTAGTGCACCTGGAGGCGGCCGGCCCCAAGGCGGGCAGAGGAGCGGCCGAGGAAGTCGGGGACGGCGCGTGGGCCCGGAGCAGCGTGGGGTAAAAGGGGCTCGACCCCCGGGAAACCCCTCCTCCCCCCTCCAAGCCAGCCCCTTGTCGCCTTCGTGCTCTGCGCCCGTCCGGGCAGGAAGCGCCTTGAGGAGCCTCCATCACCCCTATCTCTCAAGCAGCCCCCTGCCCAGGGGCACCCACTTAGCCAGCCCCGGGCGTCGTTGTCGACCAAGTCCGAGGCAGGATGCCAGTGTTTGGTGCTCAGACCTTGACCATGCCAAACTGGCTTCTCTGGCTCCCCCAGGACTGACCCCTGCTCTTGCCCAGGGCCCTTTCCTATGGGCCTTTATCTTCTAACCCCCCACCCCCCAAGCCCTTGCGACTCTTAACCTGCCCCGCCCGCCGTGCTCACCTTTCATCTCTAGCAATAGGAACCTGTCCAGTGGTCCACTCCAATGCATTGGGCTTTCTACTAGGTGACACTAGTTATATACTTAATAGTTAATACAAAATTCCATGTTCATGTTGCACCAGAATCCACTCATTTCATGGTTTCTGAAGGCCATAGGTTAACTTTTTAGTGTGGCACTTGTAGTGTTTTAAAAGCAATTCTAAATCTATCAGGTGCTCTCAATTTATAGGCATGTTTACAAAATATCATTAAAGAAGGCTGGGAATTTTTGGCAGTGTGAGACCAGTTGGGGTGGGGAATTCTTTCATCCACATTTATCCAATGCCTCCTGTGTTCCAGGCATTGTGCTAGGCACTGTACTAGGTGCTTTTGGAGGAATACAATGAAAGAGGACATGATTCCTTCCTCAGAGATTGAGTAGAAGTTGGGTCTTGTAATGCCAAAGTTGGATTCAGGAAACTTGGGTTAATTCTTCACCCCCTTACTAGTTTGAGTATTTATTTTCCCTCAGTTTCCTCATCTGTTAAGATGAGCATAACAATACTTTTATCAATTACCTCACAGTGATAAGTTTACTAGGGAGTTTACAACCTAGGAGGTAACAAATTACCATAACACAAAATAGATGATGACAAGTGCATGAGAGGTATGAACAAAATTGCTCTTTATTAGAATTCTTAAAAGGGGAGAGATCTTTGGGTAGGTGGACCTTGAGTACCCCTCATATTGCATTGAGTAGGTGGTGCCTGCCCTGTTTTCTGATTTTATGACCTATGTAGATCATAATGGACTTTGGGGAAGCAAAGCCCATGATTTTTATCAGTTCCAAATAACTCACCCCGTTTTGCCTCTTTTTCCAGAATTTATCATCTCTCCCTTTCCTCTTTTGATCTTTTGTCAGCCTGACCTTTCCTATTTGCTTCTACCTATCTTCAAAGTGTCTCCTTACTACTATTAATCTTCTTTCACTGGTTGGTTCCTTACAGTATCAACTTGGCATCCCAACTGTTTTGCCTTCTTAATACTTCCTTATCCTCTCCAAAAGAGAGGATCCTTTCACAGGGAGTGAAGCCTATGCTTTAGTTTTATGGGTAAGACAACACTTACTTAAATGTACCTGTCCTACACTTGTATAGGAGGATTTTGAGGAAACAGAGGAGCAACTTCAACATAATGGGGAAAAGAAATTCGTTTGGTGGGATCAGTGGCAGTCATCTTCCTATCTCAAACATCCCTCATGAGGTATGACATCAATTGTAACTTAAAATACTTTGTAAGAATAGCGACTCCTATTGCCAAGTGGAATTGAGTCATACTGTTAAGAATCCTTTCTTATTTCATTCCTAGGTGTAATCAAATTTCCACTTGGTGGATTTGTAAATCAAGTTATTTATTGGAAATAACCTCTGTTGCCCAAATAGGCACAGTAAGTTAGACAGACTCAGGATGAGTGAAGCAGTTGAAACCTTTAATATGCTGTGGAGCTCGAGCATACACATCCTACAGAAGCGAGAGCAAACCTTATATCCCTCCTAGCCGACTTTCATTGGTAGAAGTCAACACAGGTTGCAGACTTCCCAAAATGAGCACCACATGTTCCCCTTGGTATGTCATCGTGTCCCACCCCGCTTCTTCGTATATCACATGTTTAGAAAATGGCATCTTAACTCCACCCAGAGGTGGAGAAGCTAGTATTCATGAGCCTATCAAGCTTGCACCGGCCAAGTAAAGCCTAACCTTTGCCCTACTTCCAGCCTCTTTAATCAAACAACCAGTTTCACCCAATTTTAGCTGGTTCTTGAAGCTCCTGACCCAGAGCTACTTTCCTCTCAATTTCCTTACGTGGAAATATAATAATTTCTTACTTCACACAAAGTGCTATCAGTTTTTTCTTGTGCTCTAAACATATTTCTAATTGTAATTAAGATTTCACTAAAGTGGTTAGGCAGTGTTCTTTTTCTTGTTTCACTCTTCACAACAAAGGACTTAAGTCAGGCAACAAATCAATTTTTTTTGAGCACCTAGTATCTGCAAGATACTGTATAGGGATAAGGCAGTTCTTACCTTTATTATCAAACTACCATAATACAATCTGGTTGACATGATATATTATAATACTATAGGATATGATGGTTGATTGATGAGCCAACCCTACTGGCTGTTAATAGAAGTCAAAACTGGGTTTTGTTGAAAAGGTTCCCATCTGATTGCAACAACACAGTCCACAAACTTCCTTTTATGTAAAGTTTTCTGCTGCCCATGCTGGTAGTGCTCTAGAGTAATAATAAAATCCCTAAGTTGAAAGTTACTTTGAAAAGTCATAGTCACAATCACATATTATCCCAAATAGAAACAAAGGTCTTAAGTCAGTAAAGGGGAACACGTTCAGTAGTCCTTTTCTTGTTCCATTCCATTGTTGAACAACTAACTCTTCTATCTGGACATTTTTTTCTTGTCATTTACCTAAGTGCTTTATTCTGTTTTGAAGCTGTTTTATCCCATTCATATTCAGTGGAGATGAAGGACAGTTGGTCCTGATCCTTAATAAAATAATTTTCCATATGTTTTTTAATATCACATCTCATTTCTCATTTCACTAGAATGAATCATTCCACTTGTTTTTACTCTTTTTCAAGGATTTTATTCCTTAATTTTTTAATCAATTTTCTAATTCGTTTTTGAACTTTTCATAAGTTATTCTCAAGTTATGGAGTCCAGTACTAGTAAGGGTGTAACCAGTGCTGAATATAGTAGGAATAATGGGCTTAAATATGGTAAGGATTTTGTGGCATCTCAGATCTGATAATGGTCCCCAGAAGGTTTAGTGAACATGCAATTAAGTGCCAGGGTGTTGAGGGAAATGAAACTATTTGTGATACAACTGTATTAATTAAAACATAAGCCCCTTTAAAAACCTGTTTTCCTTTGGCTTAAAAGGAAGTATGGCATAGTAGAGAAAGAAAGATCTGGCTTCTGAACTAGGAAGACCTGGGTTCAAGTTCCACCTTTGACCTATTCTGGCTGTGTGACCCTGGGCAAGTAATTTAACCCCTCAGTGTGCTAGGCAACTATTTAAGACTATAAATTGCAGAGAAGGTGCCATCTTGCAATGGTAGAAGGAATTTCTTCATCTGGAAGTTCTCTACATCAGTGAAATCACAGGTCCAGTCCCTATCTCTTTCCTTTGGATTAAAAGCTTGCATCAAGTGTTTCAGGTTCGTATTGGATTGATAACAATATTTGTCAGCTCTCCAACCATAGTAATGAACCACAATGAATATAATAAGCAGAGGGCAAAGGAAGTATTGAAGCATTATTGCTTAGTAGAGTATACAATTTCTATATTGGCATATTTAGTGAATAATAAAAATTACATTAAGAAAATGTAGCTGAGCTTCTTCAGTACTTAGCGTTAAGTCTGTTCTAAAACAAATATTGTTATAGAATTTACCTCACTGGAATTTGGAATCTGATGTCTTCACTCCTGAAAGTAAAAACCTCCCACCTGGAAGGGAGAGTGCAGCAGGTGGTAAGCAACCCTAGTTGTGCATACTTCTCTTGGAAAATAACTCATTTTAAAGAGGGTTTATTTTTAATGTATCACCAAACTTGTGTAAAGACTAACTGTCATTTTCTCATACGTGTTCTTTCAGGTAAGCTGAAAAAGGTAAGGATAAATAAGTTTGGTTGTAAAATAACATACAAAGTATATTTTAATAAGTAATACAGTGTATTTTAAGACATCTTTTTATCTGAATATATTGTTTTAAATTTCAGTTCTGCAGAATTCTTACATGTTAGAACTATTGATGGACTTAGTGAGGCTGCAGACTAGTCATTGTAACTGAGGCTTGATTGATATGTTAAATTTTTATTAGGTACAACAATCCTATAAGAGGAAGTTAGCATTAATAATAAAAGAGCACATTTTATAGTTATTTTCAAAAGAGCAAATAGCCTTGTAAATTCTGTGAAAGTTTGAGATTGTCAATAATTCATTATGAAGTTGTAAAAAATACCCTTTTAATTTTGATTAGAATATTAAACCTAAAATGTTATTAAAATGAGGGCAAACTTTAGATCTGTTTATTAGAGTTCATCAGTTAATATTTCATTGATGCTTTTATTGCAGAAGTTTAAAGACAGCAAACAGATCTAATTCTCTTTTCAGCATATATTGATTATTTCTGCTAGAATCAGTAGGAATTATTTATGTGTATGTAAGAAAGACCTGTCTCAGGGTTTTACTATGTGTTCCTTAAAATAGAACATGAGTAGGGATCTGAGATACATTCTATTATTCTTTTTTTAAAATGTTGTTCTGCTTTATAGAGTCATTTGGAAATTCCAGTAGAACAACTGATAGAACTTAGTTTGTCAGAGAACTCACAGAAAAAATCACAGGTAAGATATGTTCAACATAAACTAAAGAACATGATTTAATATTGTTTTGTATTTTAGCTCTTTGTAAAATACTATTTTTTTGGGTTATCAGAACAATAGTAAACCAGGGATGTTTCAATTCTGGAGCTACCCTCATAATGAAGCAATAACTATGGAGAATAGGTAAGAGAAATTTTATTATTCAAAGATAAAGCAAATGAAGCAACATTACTTTTTAGATGAGGTAGCTAATTAAATATGAAATCTTCAAGATCAGTAATATTTCAAGGCTTTCTAATGATTACTAACTTTTGAACTGGAGGAGGAAAGCATGTTGGCATGGATAAAAATAATAGCTCATATTTATAAGGCATTTTAAGGTACACAGAATATTTTCTAAAACAATACTGTGAAGTAGGTGCTGCCCCCATTTTACAGATGAGAAAACTGAGGCTCAGAGAGGTTGTGACTTTGTGGGACTGAAATTCAGATCTCCTGACTCAAATCTTCCCTTTCCAATAGAACATTATTGAAAAATGTTCCTTTCAATAATAGGAAAGTTATGTAAATACTCCATGTGTGGATAATTAAGAATTGACTATCAAGTATAATGTTTTCATGTGTGTTTGACAGGATTTGATTTGCTGCACAGTTGTGCTCTGGCTCTTCTCTCTTTCACATTCTGACTGATCCATGTAGATAGGTCAGGTTATTCTTCTGACTGTGTCACTGACTAGTGCTATTTCACTATCTCTGTCTTACATTTTTCAGCTCACTTATTGCCTCCATTTGAATCTCGGCATTACTGGATGTTTTGTGTGCATCTGATGTTTTGTTTATCTTTCTGCTGTCAAAGCTGTGTTTTAACTCTAGTGTGAAATGAAAGACCTGTGAAATTCAAACCTTTTAAGAGTCCTATCAAGACAGAAGTACTGTTTAAATGATGCTTAAATGAAAGTACTATTTAAATTTCTGTTTCTAGAAATAGAAAACTAAACAATACAACTCATGAATTGACTTTCTTGTAATGGACAATAATCTGTGTTCTTTCATTTATACACATATAAGCATACATACATGTATATATATACATATGTGTGTGTGCAGAGAAGAAAAGATATCATTTCAAGAGGAATATTTTAGGGGAAAAAGGTTTATTTCAGAAGCTTCATTGGTTTTGAAAAAGTGGCATCTCCATAGTTAACAGCTGTCTAAATAATTTATCTTCCTTTGTGGCCAGTGGATGGCATTGGAACTACCTGACAAAGGGTAATCTGCAGTAAGTACTCTGTTGCTGTCACATTGGAACTTGTGGTGACAATTAAAAGGAGTTTGGTGGTATGTGTGCCCAAGAGGTAGAGATCCTATTAGGGGTTAGGAAGGGCTACTTTTAAGGCAGTGGGGCTTATTGATGGATAAGAATTTTCGTTGTAGAGAGGCTTAAAGTGTCTTATAATGAAATGTTCCAAAAGTTGAACTTTGTTCTGGGAATAGAGAAGTGTAATTTATTGTCTTTGCCGTGGAAAGGAAGGGAGAGGTAATGATATTACAGAAAGACAAGTTTCATTGCGAGAGGGTCAGTGCTTAAGAATTCTTTCTTCTTCTGCACACCTAATAGCAGTTGACAATTAAACTTTATAGAATGTTTAAAATAACTGTTCAGTACTTGTTTTTCTGAGATTAGATCAACATAACAACTGACTTATGTGTCCAAAAAATAATACTTTTTTCTCCGTTTTCAATAGAAAAGTAGTATTTTTAAAGATTTCAGACAGGACTGCTGTAAATGTGTTATGTTAGGTTCAGGGAAGCTGGATTTATAAACAGCAAGAAAATGCTATCACTGCATATTGGTAGATGAAGAATTCATGTAATATCAGTATTTCTAACTAGCTTGGTAAGTAGAAAAGCCAACGTGACCATACTTATTCCCCACATTAATCTCAAGATTCTGTCACACAGTCTTTTGTTGCTTTCATTTTATTATCAGTGTTACTTTAAAAATGAAATTACAGCAACTAACGAGTAGGTGGTTGGTTATTCCTGAAAACATTTTTGTTGGGTAGAGGCTGATATTTTGTTTTGAATTTTTCTATAAACTTTTGGCTTTCTTTTTAAACTTCCTAATGTTTGTCAGAATACTTTTTTAAAATCACATATTGGGGGGCAGCTAGGTGGCACAGTGGATAGCACACTGGCCCTGAAGTCAGGAGGACCTGAGTTCAAATCCGGCCTCAGAGCAAACACTTGACACTTAACTAGCTGTATGACCCTGGGCAAGTCACTTAACCCCAATTGCCTCACCAAAGGGCAAAAAAAAAAAAATTTTTTTTTAAATTTTTAAAAAATCACATATTGGCATAACTGGAAACATGATTAAATGATATCAATTACTTCTTATAAGAGCTTCCTTGTCTTTCATTCTGGACAAATAAGGTAAAATTTTCAAAGTGTCTTCAATTTGAACTAGTCCTTTTCAGATATAGTAGTTGAAGTATTATGTTTATATATGGTAATGGGGGAGGGAAGTGAGTATAATTAGCTGCTTTTGTTCTAATGGCAAATTATTTCTATAATTACTTACATTAAGGCACTTTAAGTTTGCACCAACTAACATTTTGTTTATGAATCATTTATTTGCAGATCAGGCAATATTGACTATAATTGGAAGCTTTTAATATCAAACAGTTCACAAGAGTATATTTTAGTTCTGGAAGGACATACAAGGGAGCCTTTATCATTAACTTGTGATAGTCAGCTTGTAATTATTCTTGTTGTTATGTGTCATTAGTGATATTCAAATATTTGCTTTACAGAAAGAATTAAAATAATAAAAGTTTATACTGTTAGAAAGATATGTAAAACAAAGGCTTTCCGCTACTATTGTCTTTAATCTTTTGTAAAAGATGCATTCTTAACTGTAAAGCAACTGCATTATAAAATAAAGGTACATTCCCACAGAATTAATCTCCCAATAAGTCGAGGTGAAAAATTTTGGCAAAGAAAAAGTTAAGATGTTATCCATCTTCGTAGCATATTGATTCTACTTTCAAAATGACTTAGGAATGTTTTAGCACCACCCTTCATCTAGACTCTTACTCTTATTTTTAGACCCTGTGATTTCCTTTCATGGCTAAGAATGTCTTTACTTTTGGAACATAACGTCCTTTCTTTTTGATTAGACTGACAATATGAATTTTACCAACCTGAAAATTTATTAATAATAACTCATATTTATAGAGTTCTTCAACACTTGCCAAGTGTTTTCTGCATGAAACCTCTTATGGCAGCATGCATTATTTTTACAGATGAGGAAAAACTTGAGATGTGAGAAACTAAGTGACTTGACTATTGTCACATAGCTTATAAGTATCTGAGGCAAGATTTGAATTTGTGTCTCTTTTGAGTCTAGCATTCTTTTCATTATGCCATGTTAACCTTTAAATAGATTTTGAGTTACGTAAAATAAATTCCCTACTTCACTTATTCGTTAACTCAAAAATTCTATAAAGCAGATTTATTTAAAACAAGTAATACCAATGCCAAACTCTTGGCTACTTGGTTATTTTATAGAACATTCATTTTGTAGGAAAGTCAGGCTGTTTGAATCAAGACTTAGCCAGTTGTTTTTTTGTTGTTGTTGTTGTTGTTGTTGTTGTTTTTTATTTTTTTGAAGACCAAGTAGAAGTGAGATTTGATCTGGTGATTAGAAGCTATTTCTGTGGTTGCTGCTATACTTTTTAGCAGAAGAATTAGCATACTCTAGGAAGGTAACCTGTAGTTATGTAAGTTTGAGTAACTAGATTCTAGATTGTTAAAGGTCATGGCACAAGAACAGAACAGTTATAGAATCACATAATCTTAAGAGTTGGAAGGAACCTCAAAGGGTATCTAGTGAAGCCCTTAGGACAGGAACTCTACAATATCCCTAATAAGTAGTTATCCATCTTGAAGACCTCCAGTAAAGAGAAAGGAAGGAATGTAATCTACCTGCCTCTCAAGGTAGCCTATTCTACCTTGGCCAACATTAATTGTTGGGAAGTTATTCCTTCTGCAATATGGACATTTGCCCATTTGTGCTCTTTCCTGGCTTCCGTGCTTTGAGAACTTATGTTTACTAGGGGAAGCTTCAGGATATCAGAATTGTGGGAGTTTTATACCTGGATAAGGAATTTGTGTCAGGAAATACAAACTTTGAAAAAAGAATAAAATAGAGGGGAAACCATAGGAGATCTAGACCAGCAACTGTCACCGGAATTAGGCATCATTAGCACAGTCAGGATGATGTCATTGTGCATAAGGAACAGTTCCTTTAGCCTCTTTCCACAAAACGACTGCCCTGGAGTCTGCTGCTGCCCTGTCTCAGCTCACTGCAACAGAGCTGTAAAGGGGGAGGGGAGGGAGGATGTTGTAGCCTTCCTGAATTTGATCCTGAATCCTGAACAAGTTTGCTGTGTGAGCATTTATATCTCAGAACCTGGCAAACTGTATAAGTTGGGTTTGATTTATTATTTTATCAATTGTCTAGATTTAAGAGTATAATGGAGAAAATGTTAATGCAAATTAAGCTTAAAAGCATGTCATTTATTTTTTGGAGAATAGGTTGTTAAATATTTACCAGCATACCTCTGTCTATTGCCCTCCAAGCTGGCTGTGTATTACTGCCTAGCTGGGATAGGGTAAAGATTGTTGCTGAACTAGACCTAGTTAAGGAACAGGACATCAGATACTAGTATTCTCACTTCTGAGACCCAACCCAGGACTTGAGCTTCGGATAATCAACAAGCACCTACCCTGTGCCAGACACTGTGCAAAAAATGGGGATAACAAAGACAAACAATGAAACAATCCCAGCTCTCAAGAAGCTTTCGTTCTATGAGTAAAACATGTATGTATATATGTATGTATGCAAATGTGTATATATAAAATAAATACAAAGTAATTGGTGGGGAGGGGGGCACTTGTCAGCCAAAGGGATCAGGAAGGATTTCCTATCAGGTAGTGCTTGAGCTGAGTTTTAAAGAAAACTAAGGATTTTAAAAGGTCGAGGTGAGGAGAGGCCATTTCAGGCATGGGGAATGGATTGTGCAAAGGCATAGAGATAGGAGATGAAGTGTTGTATGACAGGAACTGAAAGAAGGCCTGTTTGTCTTTTTCTGAAGTGGTGCATGAAGTAGAGTATT